GGGGAAGGGGCTGATCCATCCCTGTCCATGGGGAAGGGGCTGAGGCTGGTCCATCCCTGCCTGTGGCGGAGTCCCCACATGGGGCTGGGTGCCGGGGACCCCCCAGCCACCGGGGTTTTGTCCCCTGGGCCGTGTCCCCGCGCCTGCCGGAGATGCAGCGGGGGCTTGGCCACCAGGCTGGGCTGTCCCCCTGCTCCAAGCCCCGGCGCTGGGGGGGACTGTCCTCACTCAGGGCAGACCCTGCCTCCATCCTCCCACCGGTGATGCCAGTGCAGAGCCCCCCGGGGATGGGGACTGTCCCCTGGGCTCCCCTCACCCCAATATCATCCCACGAGGGGCTGTGGGGGCACAGCGGAGGGCACAGTGGGGCTGGGCAAGGGGCAGTGACCATCTGCAGGGTGGGGGGTGTCGGGGGGGGCTGTGGGGGTCCGCGGGGCTCAGAACTGCACGGCCCCGCTGGGGTCACACTGCAGCAGGCGCACGATGGACGGGTCGCTCTTGGCCCCTCTGATGAACTCCTCCAGCGAGAGCTTCCCTGCGGGGAAGGGGACACGGCTCAGCCACCTCCCGGCACCAGAGACCACCCAGCGCAGCCCACGGAGCCCCTCCCACCCGGGAGGAGCACCCTGGGGTGCCCAGCACCCCGAGCCCCTCCTGCCAGCGGGGCCAGGCCGGGGGACATGAGCCATTTAATCAGCGTGCGTGCGGCTCCTTCTGAGCGCCCTGGATTTAGCCATGAGACCTTTCCCTAATCCCCCGCGGCTCCTCTCATTTACCGTCGTTATTAGTATCCATCTGTCGGAAGATTTTGTCCGTCCTTTTCTCCGGGGTGGATTCATCCTCAGGCATGTTCATGACCGAGGAGACCATTTTGTAGATGGCCTGAGGGAAGGAGAGGGGGTGAGGGTCCTGGCACTACCCACCCGGGACGGGCACAGAGCTCTGGGATTTGCTTCCCTGGCCATGGGGCCGGCCTCTGACACCCTTCCCATGGGATCGGGCTTCAGCTCCCAGCACAGCCGGGGCTGGAGCTGCTCCTGCAGGGAGGATTTGGCCGCTGAAGATGCCACTGAGCATCAGCGGCTCGGGATTTGGGCAAGGAAAGCGTCTCCTGCCCGTTTGCCAACAGCGCCAGGCGTGCTGGGGGACAACAGCCCGCCCTGGAAGCACAGGAAGGGTCCCGGCATGGGGTGACAAAGGGACACCGCCGGGCACGGAAAGACTCGGGATGCTCCAGGATAAAATGACCCCTGCAGGCAGCATATTTCATCCCTGCTACCGCAAAACCCTTTCCCGGGGAGGTCCCACGGGGCGAAATCCCCAAGCCACCCGCAGCCCGGGAGGCGACAGCCCGAGGCGCGGCGGGGCCGGGCGGTACCTGCACGATCTCCAGCATCTCCTCGCGGCTGATGTAGCCGTTGCCGTCCAGGTCGTACATGCTGAAGGCCCACATGAGCTTCTGCTCCAGCTTGCCGCGGGAGGTGACGCTCAGGGCGATGATGAACTCCCTGAAGTCGATGGTGCCGTCGCCGTTGGTGTCGAAGGTGCGGAAAACGTGCTCGGCGAACTTGGAGGCGTCGCCGTAGGGGAAGAAGTTGGCGTAGATCTTCTTGAACTCCTCCACGTCCAGCATGCCCGAGGGACAGTCCTTCAGGAAACCTTTGTACCAGCCCTGCAGCTCCAGGTCGGAGAACTCCGTGTTTTCCCGCAGGTCCTGGAGCATCTCCGGCCGGAGTTTGCTGTTCTGCTTCCCCATCCCGCTGGGACGCGTCCCGGGGGGACGAGCGCTGCCGGGCCGGGCTCGGGGGTCCCTCTGAGCTACAGGAGGGGACAGGGACGGGGCAGCGCTCGCTGGCAGCCCCCGGACACCGCTGCTGCTCCCTCCATCCCCGCCGGGAGCTCTGAGCCGTCGGGGACCACGCAGCGCCGGGCAGCGCCAGCCCCTCCTGTTTGCGTAATAAGCCCTTATCGCTCATTTGCATAATAAATAGGTGATATATAGGTGGGATCAGCAGGGCAGAGCGGCCCCGAGGAGGGGAGGGGGTCCCGGCTGAGCGGTGCCTGCGGTTCTGGCCGGATCTGGGGCAGGTCCCTCGGAGGAAGGTTTATTTTCAGCTCCTCCGCTGGCTCCGCTCGGATTTGATGCCTCCGGCGGGCACCGGAGCCCCAGGAAGGGCTGGGGGTGGCAGGGACCTGCCCCAGGGTACCCCAGGAGCAGGAGCAGCCCCGAGGAGCTCCGCGGGGACGGTGCCCGGCACCTCATGCCCCCAGCCTGGGCACTCCGTGGTGACCTTGACCCGCTGCCACCCTCCTGGGGTGCCCGGGCTGCAGAAGTGCCCGGAGCTGCCTTATCCAGAGCAGGGAGAGGCCCCAGCACCCCCAAAGGTTCCTTTGGATCTCAGCACTCCCCAGGACCCCGCAGTTACGGGGGGCTGGGACCCCTCAGGGTCTCTCCTTTCCCCCCGAGGGAGGATCTGCGGGTCCCACCCCTCTCAGGGGTCCCCGGTTTTGTCCCCCCGGGACTGGCACGACCCCCACCCCCGATGCCCGCGGTCTGTGACCCCTCCCCACTGCCCGGGGCAGAGGGGAAGGGAACCGTGGGGGGCTCTGCACCCCGAGAGGGCTCTGCCAGGACCCCCCTAAAAGTGACACCTCCAGAAGGGCGGCTGGGCACCCCCAGGGAATCCTCTCCCGGAGTGGGGGGGCTCCAGGGGATCCCCAAACCGGACACCCTCGGACTGGGGGGACACCCCCACGGGAAGGTCCCTCCCGCGGGGAGGCATTGCGGGCACCCCGAAAGAAGGGCGGGGACCGAGGGGGACCCCGAGCACCCCGAAAGATGCGGCGGGGACCGAGGGGGACCCCGAGCACCCCCGAAATAAGGGCGGGGACCGAGGGGGACCCCGAGCACCCCGAAAGATGCGGCGGGGACCGAGGGGGACCCCGAGCACCCCGAAAGATGCGGCGGGGCGGGGGCGGCTCTGCAGCCGGCGGCGGGGACGGACGTGCCCGGGGCTGGGTCGGTGCCGGTGCCTCGGGCTCTGCGGCTCCTCGGTGCCCCCCGCTCGTGTGTGTGCGTGTCCCCCCCGGGTCCCTTGTCCCCGCCACCTCCTACCTGCCCGGAGACGGCCGCTGTCGCCGCCGCCACTGCCACCGCAGCCCGGGAGCGCCCGCCGCAGCGCCGGGCGGCGGGGGGGCACCGGGACCGGGGACAGCACCGGGACCGGGGACAGCACCGGCACCGGCACCGGGGACAGCACCGGGACCGGGGACAGCACGGCACCGGCACCGGGAGCAGCACCGGCACCGGGGACAGCACGGCACCGGCACCGGGGACAGCACCGGCACCGGGACCGGGGGCAGCACCGGCACCGGGGACAGCACGGCACCGGGACCAGGGACAGCACGGCACCGGCACCGGGGACAGCACCGGCAGCACCCCCGGGACCCCCCACCCGGGCCGGGACACCACGCAGCCCCCGGGGCTTTGCCCCACGGAGGAGAGGTCGGGGTGCAGCCCCTGGTACCCCCAGAGAAGGAGCTGGGGGGGCTCTGGGAGCACGAGAGGGTCTTGGAGAATGGGAGCACTGGGAACACTGGGAATACTGGGAGCACTGGGAACACTGGGAACACTCGGAGCACTGGGAACACTGGGAACACTGGGAATACCGGGAATACTGGAGGTTTTCAGGCGCTGGGAGCACTGGGAATACTGGGAACACTGGGAGCACTGGGAACACTGGGAATACTGGAGGTTTTCAGGCACTGGGAATACTGGGAACACTGGGAACGCTGGGAACACTGGGAACACTGGGAATACTGGGAATACTGGCAATAGTGTGGGAATCCAGGGTTCCCCTCTGGCTGCCCTGTCTGCCCTGGGACCCTGGCAGGGCTCAGGAACCCCCTGGACAGAGCCCCAGAGACACTGGCTGTGATCTCTGTCCATGCAAAAGAGTTTTCAATCTTACAGGATGAATTACCAGCTCTGAGGGTTTGATATCAGTAATAATTAAGTGTGGCACGGGTGCAAAAGTAAAATTTTAGGATTCTAGATGAGGGGTGCAAAGGGGACAAGCTGGAGGAAATTGGGTGTGCCTTGTTCTTTTTCTCCTTCTTCATGCCCTCCATGTCTCACTGTGGTGTTGGCATTTTTCTGTTGGTTCAGGCTGGGGACACACTGTCCAACGTAGGTGACAGATATTGGCACGTTCTTGTAAATCCAGCCCAGGGAGTTTCTGGTATTGAATGTTTGTCACATCCCACTGAGGGCAGAGCCCCACACGCTGCCCTGCAGGACAGAGCTGGGCAGGGCAGCAGAACATGTGAGAGATAAACAGAATAAACAACCTCATAACCAGCACAGATGAATTATGACTTCTCCTTTAGCAAGAAAGACAGAGAATTTTTGCAATTTTGGAATCATCAATACCTCAGGACAGGATTGGGCTGGAAACACGAAGCTGGGGAGGGGAGATGCTGCGGAGGTGTTGGCTTCTCTCCCGTTGTAGAAAGAGATTTGGGAAGCGGGGTGGGATGGGACACGGGCAGGAAAATGAGGAAAAGGGAGATTTTGGTGCTTTTGGGAACACATCCCGGGGGGCTGGAGCTGGAGCTGGGGGACAGTGGGGGCACCCAAGGTGGGGGTGCCACCTGCCCTCGGATAATCCTCATATCTATTTTAATCCCCCCGGGCATGAGCGGCAGAGGCACAAATGACGCAGGCTGATTTGAAAGCATCCCATTTCCGACTCCAACCCGACCCTAAACCCCCCTAATCCCCCGAGCTGCCAGGGATTGCAGGAGGGACACGGAGGATAATGCCCGGGAGGGGGGCACGGGCACGGGCACCGAACCCCCAGCGATCCTCAGGGTCCCTGGCACGGGGGGCAACTCATCCTGCCTGCCTCCCACCGCCCTCCACCCCAAAATATCGTGGGTTTATGGCTGGGGACCCCTCCAGCACCTCTTGCCAAGGGGATGGATGGGTGGCACAGCTGCCGTGGCAGCGGTCAGGATGCCCTGGGGGTGCCAGGGCCGGGTCCCGCTGGCCCCGTGGTGCTGCAATGTCGCGCTGTGCCATGTCCCCAAAGCTGCTGGGGACACGCCGGGGTGCTGCTGATACCTGCCTGGGTGTTCCCCCTCCTTTTCCTCCTGCTTTTCCTTCCTCCTCCTCCTCCTCCTCCCGGCAGGGATTCCTGTGGGAATTTCCTGCGTTGTCATGGCAGCCGCGATGCCCCCGAGGCTTCTCCGAGGCAGAGCAGGGTGGGGTGAGGCTGCAGGGGACATCCCGAGGGGACACCCCCGAGGGGACACCCCGGAGGGGACACCCCCGAGGGGACACCCCGGAGGGGACACCGCGGTGTCCCTGGGCCCCAGGACACCCCTCGGGGTGTCCCGGGCACTGCGTGGGGGTCTCGCTGTGCCCCCCAGGCTGATGGGGCTCGATGATGCCCAGAGTGAGCAGAGCTCGGTGTTTTGGGGTCCAGCATCAGCCCCGAGTGCCCACGGGAGCACCCTCGTGGGTGCCAGGGTGGCACAGAAGGAGCGCGGGCGTGTCCAGGGAGGTTGGGTGCTCAGCACACAGCAGACGCCATCCCGAAAACCTTCTGGGATCCTGGGACGAACTGGGACAGGGCAGAGCAGGAGGGGCTGAGCACAACCAGGGTGTCCCCAGTTACCCCACAGACCCCTCCCCACGGGCCCACGCTGTCCCCAGAGCGTGTCCCTGTCCCCAGAGCATGTGCCTGTCCCTGTCCCTGTCCCTGTCCGTGTCCCTGTCCCTGCCCCTGTCCTCAGAGTCTGTGTCTGTCCCTGTCCCTGTCCCTGCCCCTGTCCACGGAACCTGTCCCTGTCCCTG